CAAAAATTGATAGGCAGTGTCGGACACTGCCGCAGTTATTTTCGTGAAAACGTCAATCGTGTATAGTATATTGAAATTAAACAAAATTTACGTTGCCTATATTCGCGGCAGTACTGCGAGTTGGTTTTGGGTCCAAGCCCGGAGTTTTCGGTGTCATCTTCTTTGGAATTTTATGCTCTACGCATTCGTGCCCGATTTTTATAATTCTGGTTGTATTTTGCCCTCATATATCGCGACATTTTAAGAAAATCGGGAAATTTTCAAACGTTTTCAAATTCACAGCCTCGTATCTTTTTGAGTTACTGAGATACACACTTGGAAGCCAGGATGAGTTATAACATATAAACTCCTCTTCAAAACAGCACTTTGTTCACTCGGATCGGATAATTAGTCTCTGAGATATGATCCCGTTTATGAACACGTGTCGAATCCGGAAAGTCGAAAATCGTGGGTTTAATTTGCGCGTGCACAGTTCGCGACGTCCGTCCGCCACGAATGTCGGAGCGGTACTTGCACAAACTTTCATCCTTTCTCTTTAAAAATGGATAAAAATAATGTGTACATTGTGGGTGTCAGTGAAGTTCGATGGAGGGATCAAGGTGATTTCGAGTCTGGAAACTATCATATGTACTACTCGGGAGGTGAGAGTGCTGAAAGAAATGTTGCAATAGTGATGCAGAAATGGATCAAGAAAAGTGTAATCAAAGTGCAAGCGTGTAGTGACAGATTGATGTATATCAAGTTGAATGCAGAACCAGTGGATATTCTAATAATTCAGGTGTACATGCCAACATCGGATCATGACGATGAAGAAGTGGAAATAATATATGAGAAGATAGAAGAAATCATCAGGACAGAAGGAAGAGAGAAAGTGCAAACCATAATAATGGGAGACTGGAACAGTGTCGTGGGGAAAGGAGCAGAAAACAACATTGTCGGCCCTCATGGACTGGGAATAAGGAATAGGAGAGGGGACATGATGGTTGACTTCTGCCGAAGAAATGGACTGGTTCAAGAAGCATCACAGGAGATTGTATACGTGGAAAAGCCCAGGAGGCAGGAA